CAAACAAACAAGTGAAGAGGAGCATTAGAGCCGACAAGAAGAAATAAGTGGAAGAACTAGCAACGATGGCCGAAAAAGCTGCAAGGGAAGGAAATATGAAACAGCTCTACGACACAACGAAGAAACTAGCAGGAAATACAGTAAACCAGAGAGACTGGTCAAAGACAGAAAAGAAGACAGGCCGATCACTGAAATTCAGCAACAGCGGAACAGATGGGTGGAGTATTTTGAAGAACTCGTGAATAGGCCGGCTCCAATGAATCTACCGGACATCAAAGCAGCACACACAAATCTTCCTATAGATGTCAATCCACCAACGACGAAAGAAATCAGGATGGCCATCAGACGAATCAAGAGCGGGAAAGCAGCAGGACCCAACGATATACCAACTGAAGCACTGAAGTCAGACATCGGAGTAACTACAAACATGCTTCACCTTCTATTCAAAAATATTTGGGTGGAGGAACAAGTGCCGATGGACTGGAAAGAAGGACACCTCGTCAAGATTCCAAAGAAAGGAGATCTGAGCAAATGTGAAAACTACAGAGGGATAACACTACTGTCAATACCAGAGAAGGTCTTCAACAGAGTGTTGCTGAACCGGATGAAGGATGCAGTAGACGCCCAACTTCGAGATCAACAAGCTGGATTCCGTAAAGATCGGTCGTGCACAGACCGAATTGCAACACTACGGATCATCGTCGAACAATCAGTTGAGTGGAACTCATCATTATACATCAACTTCATTGATTATGGAAAGGCATTCGACAGTGTAGATAGGAGGACGTTATGGAAACTTCTTCGACACTACGGAGTTCCTGAGAAGATTGTCAATATTATCTGGAACTCATACGACGGACTACAGTGCAAGGTCGTGCATGGAGGACAGCTGACAGATGTATTCCAAGCAAGGACTGGAGTCAGACAAGGCTGTTTACTCTCTTCCTTCCTCTTTCTTCTGGTGGTCGACTGGATTATGAAGACCTCGATATCCGAGGAAAAACACGGAATAAAATGGATAGCTCAGAATCAATTAGACGATTTGGACTTTGCAGATGACCTAGCCCTCCTATCACGTACACACGAACAGATGCAGATGAAGACAGCCAGTGTAGCAGCAGTCTCTGCATCAGTAGGCCTCAGCATACACAAAGGGAAAACCAAGGTCCTCAAATTCAAAGCGGACAACAGCAATCCAATCACTCTTGATGGCGAAACTCTGGAAGACGTAGAGTCATTCACATACCTAGGAAGCATCGTCGATGGACAAGGAGGTTCAGATGCAGACGTAAAGGTGAGGCTTGGCAAAGCAAGGGTCGCATTCCTTCAATCGAAGAACATATGGAACTCAAAACAACTTTCAACCAATATCAAAGTGAGAATCTTCAATACGAACGTCAAGGCAGTTCTACTGTATGGAGCTGAAACTTGGAGAACTACAACAACCACAATCAAGAGAATACAAGTATTTATAAACAGCTGTCTACGCAAGACACTCAACATCCATTGGCCGGATACCATCAGCAATAGCCTTTTGTGGGAGAGAACAAACCAACTTCCAGCTGAAGAAGAAATTAGGAAATGACGATGGAAATGGATAGGACATACACTACGCAAATCGTCAAACTGCATCACGAGACAAGCCCTAACTTGGAATCCTGAAGGGAAGCGGAAAAGCGGAAGATTAAGAACACATTGCTTCGGATAATAGAAGCAGATATGAAAAGGATGAATAACAATTGGAAGGAGCTGGAAAGGATTGCCCAGGACGCGGTTGGATGGAGAATGCTGGTGAGCGGCCTATGTTCCTTCACGAGGAGTAACAGGTGTAAGTAAGTAAGTAACCAAGTTAAAGTGAGTTTCTTCCTGTTTATTCTTTATTAACTTTTTACTCTTCTGTACACTATGTTGACTAGCAATTAGTATTATTTCTCCACTCGTTACCTTATCTACAAGTCATATACTTCTATACTTTTCCACCTACTTTGGTAAACAACTATCCTACATTATACCCTTCCTATAGCCTATACTCTGATTGGCAACATATACTTCATACTATAGTCAATTAATGTATTGCATCGAAGCCTTACCCACAGTCTATAAGTTGTAACTGCATGATAAGCTTATAAAATGGTACTTATAGAAATAGTGTTTTCCAGCAGGATATGAAACATGGATCATTGTGTGAGGTATGGCATATATCCAAAAATAAGCTTAAATGAGCCTAACATCACAAAAGGAGGGAGGGTGGAGTTGTAACAGCTGACCGGCAAGCATTGATGGTGAGGGCGATGACTTCAATCCACCCGTGTTTGTGGGGCAGAATATTTTGTTTGTATCAGGCTCTTTATGGTTGAGAACGAGTCAATCAATCTGTGATATTGAGGTTGTTCTCCTACGCTCACCATTCAGACTCATGTTTCCAATTTTATGCTGGATTAGTTATTCTACTAAGACAACCTATAACATGCTTACTCGGACTTTTACGCTAGGATTGTGTGGCTGGCATCGGATGGACAAAAAAAAAAAGAAAGGAACAATTGGACAATAAAAGATATAGTTATTAGTATTCTTAACACTTCACCCTCTATGTGCACACTTCCTTCTAATAAAACGCTTTCCTTGTACCAACCTTGACTTCCCTTCCCTCATGTGAGCTTACTCCAACTTGTTAAACATCACAACTCATTGTTCTTTATTAGTACATTCTCTAATATGGAGCCTCTGACTTCATTTCACTCTAAAAAGAGATAATATGGATTTAATCTAATTTATCATACCTCTGTTTGTTCTACTACACAATGTTAAGCAACGTTTGGCGTTCATATCCAAGTGCCTTGCTGCTCTTCTGTTTCTCTTTTTTTTACTTCAGGATCTTGCTCTGAGGGTACAGCTATGGAACTTCTGACGTCTGGAACAAACTTGACGTACGTGTCTCCTCAACGTCATAGTTTACAGCAAGCGCCCTACGAGTCTACTTTATAAAAACTATAAACTTAATAAGTTGGGAAGCATGCTGTGAGCCAACAAGTGTTGTAATGTGTAAATCATGCCTGTAAAGATGGCGTGTACATGCTCATGCAGAAATATGTTAGTATTATATAGAGCATATTGGATTTATGTTTAAGAGGAAGTTACAGGAGTGCATAATTACGTCTCTATCACTTTTCGTATAAAACATACTTTTTAAAGTCCAGCTAACACTCTGGACTATGAATAATAACTTATGGTTGGATGCACTAAAAAATATCAATTTACTGAATAAGTATAAAATTTATGGACGGAAGATATAGAAATGTGTGGCATTCGTACGAACTGATCATTCTTTTGTACTTGATTGCCCGCTTATTTCGAATTCAAAATACAATACGTTCGTTTGAGTTCACCTATTTCTGTCTGGCTTATATTGTAATAATGCACGTGGACAACTGCGGACACTCATTCGATTGGAAAAATGTGGAACTCTTAGACAGAGGAAACTCCAAAAACACCAGGGAATTTTTAGAAGCCTGGCACTCAGGTCAATCAGCAATCAACAAGCATATTGAAATCAATCCAATTTACCGACCAATCAGAAAAATCATGCACAAATATAGGGACAAAAATCAAACCAATCGGAGACAACCAAAACAAAGAAGTGAACAATGACAAATTTAAGGTCAATAAGAACCAATCAACATCGAGGTGCACAGAACAAGCTGTAAAACACATATGGAGAAATTCGAACACTTCACTTCTACCTGAAGTTTGTGCTGATGATATCGTTCAGAAGAACGATGAAAGCTCCACGACCAAACCATCCAGCTCAGAGAACAAAACTCCACCAAAATCATCTACCTGAACTACAAATCTTCTCCACTATATTGTACTGTCCCGAGAATTCCTAGTAAATACAACAAATCGAATACTTCTAATCATCGTACTAGATTAGGGGAAGTAAACATTAAATCGCCTAGAGAATATACAAGGGACAACTGCCCTCATAATTAAAGAGTTGCATGACTTATCATTTAACCCTTGCACTTTATGTGATAGATGAACACGAAGTGTTGCATACGATAATGAGAAATGATTTTGGACCTAATCTATCCTCTTACTTTATTCCAACTCGATCAAGACAATAGAGAAAAAACATTAGGTAAATCCCAAAGTAAAACGAATGAACCAAAAGTAAACCGAATTTTCTTTCCTATTCATGAAGAAACAATATTTAGGATAAAAACACAAAGCATTACCTGCTACATCACATGGAAAATTATAAACAAAATTATATAAGATTGATGCTAATTATTCGTTTATGTTCAATTGTTAAGTGTAAAGTTTACAGTGGAATTAAAACAACATATATCTACATAAAAAAAAAAGTAAATTATACTAAATGCAAAACATTTTATACATTTGTGGGCATATAAATATATATATTATATCATTTGGAACTTTCTATATGTCCGTTAAAGGATCATCAGTTGATGTGTATGCAGGTATACTCCATTGTATTAGCTATACAAGTTCTATAAACATAATCAATTGTGAACAAGAGACGTAATTTGTAAAATATAACAAACAAACAATCATTTAATACTACTAATAATAGTAGTAATAACCAGTTGTCAACCAGTATATACGTAGCAAAAAAGAAAACTACCAAGAAAAGGTTTACAATAACAAACAATTAGGTCAAAGAAAGTAAGTAATAATTGGAAATGAAGCAATACCAATGACCATATTAGATACAATAGTAAAAGGAAAAAGATGAATGTCCAAAGTTGATGTTGTTGAAGTATAATAATAATAATAATAATAATAATAATAATAATAATAATAATAATAATAATAATAATAATTGTAAACGATTATTGAATGTAAACGTATTGGGAAATAGATATATTAACTTGATATAATTATTTACATGACGATTACACTGTGAGCAGTGAAATACCCGTTAGCAAATATCGCAATGTATAATTATGCTGGATTATGTAATAATTCATACAATTTATTCATAGTTGATAATCTATTGAAGAAAATAGAAAACAAGTTTGTAGAAATAAATAGAGTTATATAATACATTCGATTTACGATATTTATAGATTTAAAGTTTAGAATTAATGAAAAAAGATGAAGTTGAGATACAGTTGTAGGTGGTACTGTTTGTGGATTGATATCGATTACTTAGTTACTTACGCCTATTACTCCTCGTGAAGGAACATAGGCCACTCACCAGTATTCGCCGTCAAATCCTGTTCTGGGCAATCCTTTCCAGCTCCTTCCAATTGTTATTCATCCTTTTCATATCTGCTTCCATTTCCCAACGTAATGTGTTCTTAATCTTCCTCTTTTCCGCTTCCCTTCAGGATTCCAAGTTAGGGCTTGTCTCGTGATGCAGTTTGATGATTTGCGTAATGTATATCCTATCCATTCCTATTGTCTTTTCATAATTTCTTCTTCAGCTGGAAGTTGGTTTGTTCTCTCCCACAGAAGTCTATTGCTGATGGTATCCGGCTAATGGATAATGAGTATCTTGCGTAGACAGCTGTTTATAAATACTTGTACCTTCTTGATGATGGATGTATTAGTTCTACAAGTTATTGACATCAATTAATGTTACATTAAAGACCAATAAGCGGTGTACAGTTATTTAATACCATCATGTGGTTTTTTGGGATGAGAACCCATCACTAGACTAAGTAATCTTTCTGTGAACCCATATTTTTATCATGAACTGTGCGAAGTGAGGACTATTGTATTCCAACTCAGGGGTCAAGAGAAAATGCGTTAGTCTCTCGGATTGAACATATTAGTTTTGACCCCCTGACAATATGACTCATAAATCTGAACTATTGAAAAATTTATATAAAAAGATGAAATGGCTGTCTAACATTTACCAGTTTTCAATTGTACTGTGATGTATGCTACTTATGTCTGTTGACATAAGTAGTATGTAACACCAGTTAAAAGTTGAATGCCTGTCAAATGAAAATTGAGGAGATTGCATTGAAGAAAACATAAAGGAAAACACGAAGGAATCAAGAAATGGAAGAATCATAAAGGATATAAAGGATACCTGATGGAATATTTACAAATGTAGTATTTAATATATGGTTTTTACATTTTATCAAAAAACCTCTGTAATTATGAATTAAACAATATACTGGTTTACCATACCCGAGTATTCGGACACTACAATACCTCAACTGATATTAGTCCACTATATATATAATGTATACGTTAGAAATCGTAAAAATGCATCAATCAAGATTAATTACATTGTGATCTTACCTTTTTATAGTTTAATAACTTTTCAAAATAAAGTGACCAATAAATTATTATTCATGTACATATTATCCAAGTATGATTATTTAATTAAATTCACTTCGTATTTCTTTAGAAACTAGTAAGCTTACTCAAATGGATTCAGTTCAAAAGGTCTAGGTGTTCATTTCACAAGAATCCAACCATGTTAAAGGGATTACTTATCGTAACTTGTTGTAAAGCTGAAGAGTTACTTAAATTTGGCAAGTGCATAAGCAAATCATAAAAATTATGTCAGATTTGAAGAATGTATTTATGTAATTTGGATTTAAGTTCCTCTATTAATTGTAAAGTAAATGAGGTAAACTAAAGTATGTGACGACTGCAATACAGTAGTTATTTCTTATCTCTTTAAAGCAGTTACCAGAATCAAAGATGAAAGTCATTCAAAAGTTACACTTCACAGGAAAATTCTAAAAGTTAAAGATTCTAAACTCACTGATGAAAGCTTAAGGTCAGAGAGTAATGAAAATGAGAAGACAATCAAAAACTGAGATCTGTGGTGTTTGAATGAACTAATGATACTTTTGTACTTGTTGAATGCTTGATTTCGAATTCTAAATAAAGTACATTCGTTTGTGGTTATCTTGATCCGACTATGTTATTTCTGGGATTCTTAGTTTATACTACAATTCAAATACTTCTGATTATCACATATCGCAAAATATTGAATGCCATTCTTAGAACAAAAAAAATGTAAATTTTCAAAATTTCCCAAAAAGCCAACTGAGTGATACTTACACTTTGTGATCAATAAAATTTTATTCATGAATGGGTCGTAGACTGATTGATTTCGTTTGTATCAACATCGTAACTATCATTTTGTGATTCCGTTTCTTCTATGTCAAAATCACGTACTATCAAAGTTTTCTGAGGTACATTTGTACAACTAGAATCTGGTATTTGATTACTGTTACAATTTAATGATATAGTAGATACTCCTATCATAGTCTGTTCATCAGTTGCACAAACTATTGATGATGCACTGGATTGTAATGATGATGATGATGACGAACGTGTCATTTTAGAATCATTTAATTGCAAAGGCTTTGGTTCTACTGCCTCAGATGATTGTGCAGGGGGCACTGAGTTTGACGGTTCCGGATGAATGAATGGTCTAGGAATATTGATAGTTGATAAAACTGGAGAATTAGAATCACTATGTATGGTGAAGACCGAAGAGCCTTGTAATTGGTTACTTTGATTTGATAAACGACTCATAATGCTTTGACGTAAAGAACCAAATCGACTACGAAGCCAGTTGAAAAAGGCAGGTGGTGGGTCACCTTGTGGTTTCGGAAATGGTTCTATCCATGAGACTGTTGAGGAGTTCACAAACTGATCAGAATCAAGTTGTGAAGATTGTCGAGGTTGTTGTGTACATGGTTTAACAGGAGTTAAGTTTTTAAACGAGGTCTGATATTTACTTAATCTAGGATATTTATCAAAATCTTCGTAGGCTGGAGGTGCTTCATCAATAACCCTAAATGAAAGAAATGCAAAAGGTATAAATGCACTATGAATTTTCAAACAAACTTAGGCCCATCCTATAAAAATACACGATGGAGATAAGCTTAATCATCGAACAGAATAAATAATCACGAACTTAACAGGTATATAACTTGCATAGTAAATTAACAGAACTATGGTTATGTGTGGCGAGTATCAAACAACACGAATCCTAGTTCATGTGGAGTTTCCTGCTGATTATTTACAACCCGTAAACATTAGAAAGAAGTGTAAACTCAGTGAAAACTAGAAATTTTACATGGGAAAATTCTTTCATAATTCTAACAAGAAAATGTATAAGAAAGAAACCATAATGTAGGAGTAAAATGTAACAAAACTTGGATCCTAATTATGAGTACACTGTTCTATACCCATTTAGATTGTATTATGAGCCAACAATAAGTAAGTTCTGTAATTTTATATTAAAATAACTTCTCATTATAGTTAGTTTAAACAGTTAATTCCTCTGATAAATTTAGATAATGCAATAAGCAGATGAAGGTTATCAGATATATTTTCAATATATTCGTGAAATACATTTCAGTCAATCAATCAGTCAGCTGCAACGTAAAACCAAGCACATATATGCATCGCTCCAAGTTGCAAAACCTCATTAGCAAAACAAGGTGAACACCAAATTCATAGAAGTAGTCACTTCAACGATAGTAATATATATAAGAAAGATTGTGCATAAGGATATAGTACAGGAAGAAAGAATTAGTTCGTAGGAAGTAAGATATAAAGCCATTTTAATCCCACGGTTTAAGGGAAGACAAAGAGTATATGGCGAGACTAATTTAGCGACGAGCCAATCAGAAGCGTTTGAGCAATTTCAAGGTCACGGAGCAAAGTTCAACACGCGATGCTAACATACAGTCGGTTCACAGCGGATTTTAGAGAGGAGGTGATTAATGAAAGGTTAAAACAGATGGAACGGCGAAACTCTAATTTAGGGACGAGCCAATGAGAAGCGTTTGAGCAACTTCAATTATTAGCCAATCAGAAGACAGTATAAAGTAAAAATATATTACAAGAAAGTAATGAATTACAGTGGATATTCTTCTTTTACATGATTTAAAAACTTGTTGAGGTTTGATAAAGGCTCAGAAGTTCTGAATTCATAATGCATATTGTATAGAAACTCGTCCATAGGGTTAGGGTTTGGGGTTAGGGTTAGGGTTAGGGTTAGATTAGGGTTTAGGGTTTAGGGTTAAGGTTAGGGTTTAGGGTTAGGGTTAGATTAGGGTTTAGGGTTAGGTTAAGGTTAGGGTTAGGGTGCTAACATGAGATCGGTTTACATCGGATTTTAGAGAAGAGGTGTTTATTGACAGGCTACAACCCTAACCGCTAACCCTATGGACGAGTTTCTATACCATATGCATTATGAATTCAGAGCCTCTGAACGTTTATTAAACCTTAACAAGTTTTTAAATCATGTAAAAGAAGAATATCCACTGTAATTCATTACTTACTTATAATATATTCTCACTTTATACTAACTGTCTTCTGATTGGCTAATAATTGTCAAGGTCATTTAAGATTCGTTCAAAGGTCGTCGCTAAATTAGAGTCTCGCCGAGTATATACACCGACGTCATTATGATCGATTCTGAGACATGTCACCCGAAGTCACTAAACACTGGTTACGGTAGTCTGCATCTACCAAGATCGTTCAGACTAGAAGTTAATGACTTCAAGGACTGATGCCACATTTCGGTTTGGCTGTCCCTAACTTTCTTCCAACCGTCTCCAACATCAATTAGCATTGCGGGTCGTGGTAATCGGTGTTCAAGCATACGTAACACGTGGCCCAGCAATCTCAGTTGATGAAGATTTAAAACCTTCATATCCATATGCTTGTTAAGACGTCTTATATGAAAAAAATCGAATGTTAACTAGACAAATTGGAATATAAAAGGAAATAAAGATAACAAATATAGTACACATTGTGAAAGCTAATCTAGATAAAAAGTTCGTATTACCATGCTGGATTGAATGCTAGAACAAATTGCTTTTGAATATATAAAGGGTATTTCAGTTTTCATGAGGTTAAGGCTTCAATAAGCGTTTGTATTCAACTTTTAACAATTTTATATAACACAAAGAAGGTTGACTTCATGTCAACACTACGACCCATCTCAACCAAATATTTTTCAATGAAGGAAGATATTTGTCTACTCTGTGATTTTATCAAATCAATGGAGTTCATTTGTTTGTGCAACCATTTAGGTATGTGTTCAAACACCCCTACTTGAAGATCACGATTCCTCCTCCATGTATAAGTGTTTTAGCACTTACACATAAACTGACAAACACAATAAGATTTCAATAGTTGAAATCACGAGTCAATTGAAGCTAGACTACTATGGAAAACCCGGAAGCACTGAACTGCCGTTTCACCCTAGTATGGGACTCCTCAGCAGTGTGCATCTACGATACCCCCTGCAAGATTCGAACCCAGGACAATAAGATTTGACACAGTCGTTTACATTCTTTAAAACCCCCATTATATGCGTGTAATCGTAATTATTCTAGTTCTATCAATTCCATAGTATGTTCAATGACTTGTAATAAAAAAAATTAACTGATTAGTTTGATCATGAATTTGATCTCTAAATCATAAACTATCTACCATTGTTTATGTGTACAATAGAAAACTCAACCGGACTCGTTCTATATTCAATTTCATTAAGCTGAAACTATTCATTATAATATATAAAACGGATTCAAAAATAAACCGAAAAATCATTTTATTAACGAACAGTTACTTAAGAAATTAAAAACGTTTCCGATGGTACATTGTTTAGTATATTCAACTACTTTATAAATTATAGAATATATAAATTATTATAGGGTGTGTCATTTAAGTCATTCTCCTAAGGATAGATTTCCTTTTCCTATTGTCATAGTAATTTCTCTTAAGAAAATATAAACAAATACTTTGCATTTCATTTTGTATTGTTTGTTTGAATCTTCTCATAGATAATATTTAGGACTGCAATTGGAATATGTGCATCTTATGCAGATTGTCTTGATATTATCATAAGTCATAAGTATTATAAGCAAAGATAGATAACGGATAGCAATAGAATCCAAGATTCATGTTTCGTCCTATTCGAGACTCGTCAGCTGGATGTTTATTACAGGACGTGATAGCGTTTGAAGCGAGCTTTATTAGGTTCGAGTCCCAGGGTGAATATGAACCCTGGGCTGAAGGTACATTCCGCTGACAAGTTCCAACACAGGATGAAACGTGCTTCTAGTCACCATTCATATTCGCTTAAAGTGCTTTTCTATCTTATAAAGTGAAAATTTATATCTGAATGTTATTAGGATGTATGATTGAATATAAAGATGAATAGAATGTTTATTGTTGTGTATAACACCCTAATTAGCATTATATATTTTTTAAAAATGTAATCCAGTTACCAAAATCAGTCAAGCAAACAATAATGACATGCTCGCTAGTAACTGATCTTCAGATAAATTCTTAAATTCCTTGTGCGAAGTTATGATTAGTTAAATCATTTCGGATCATCGTCCAATATTACAGTTTTACTGATATTAAAAATACAAATATGTATATGAGCATCATAAACTCCATGAAAAATTAAGCAGTAAAGAAAAGTAGTCATAATTGCATAAATTTCATTCACCTGAAGCATGTAGCAACTATCCTACAATCAATTTCGATCAGGGTTAATTTTGGTTAATCCCTTTTTGTCAACTTAACAGATGTGTTATTTCAACAGTAACAATTCGCATATTCCTTTGTACCGTTATGATCACTAGATCATATGACAGACTCTAGCTGAAATGTTGATTGCTTCGTTCTCCTTCCCATGTATATATGTACTCAAATCTTATTATGAGTCCTTGCTTTGCCTTGCTGAATCCTTATACAATTTGACTATAAATTTGCCTATGTAGTTGTTCATACATGCTTATTCGCCTCTCCGCTTTAAATACGTTCGATGTGTTCATAGCTTTGTAATATGTTCTATCTGTTAATAAACTGTAGTTGCCGCTTCTCATTGCCTTCTGATTTTAATCAACATTGAGACTGATATTATAATGGTTATCGAGGTGATTGAATAACTGTTGGGATTTATTTCTGGACTATTACTACACGTATATTTTTATCGTATAATTGTTCTGTAACTAAACTATTCATATTCATGTTCCTCTTATTATGAGCTTTATTTTGACCTATGAATTAATATTATACGATTTACCATTCTTGAGTTATGCCTTGTCTATCAATTACTATCTCCCTCATTCACGGCCACATTTGGCTAAATCTTGTACAAATGTTGTTTCTTACTTTATGGTACAATGTGATCTGTCTGGTTGGTATATAAACCCAGTATGTTTGAAATAAATGATTCACATCGCAGAGGCTGAGATTGATGTGCTGGACTTAACAGGCAGGGTTAGGCAGGAAGCAGAACCGATAAGTACTGTAGAATGCTCCCACGGGTTTTATGCGTCATTGATCCGGCCGTTAATTCACTGCTCTCTAGTTGGTGGTATCATCAAGTTATACATTAACAGGGCACACAGGCCACAAGTTATAACAATCTGTAACGAATAGTATCTGGAAATTAAGAAACCATCTACACAAAACCCTTTTGTCAACAATATAAACTGTATGGATAGACTGTATGGATATTTGGGACCGATAACTATCGTTTTGTTTAGGTTTAAATTTCTTGTTACTGTTCTGTTAGTGTTCTCAATTGTCTAGATAAAATCAATAGTTCATTAAAATTATTTGATCATATTTCGAATTATACATCTAGTGTATGATTTAAAATGAATATTTGACCGGATAAGTGTATAACAGTTATCATTTATATCATTGTTTAATCATCGAGATATATCGTGAATTGAATGATATTGTAGTGTTTAACTATTGGTCTAACACTTTTAACTTAACATAGGACTTAATGATTGTTGATTCAACCTTATTCTA